TTAAAATGTTATTAAATTTACTTTCATTAAAATTTAAAATAAAATAAAAATCATGTATTTTATATTATACTTATACATATTTTATAGTCATAATAAAGTTACACCAATCGAACATTTTTTTAATAGATGTTTTATTGTAYCGAATTTTAATACATTTTCCTTAGAAAACCCGAAAACTTTGAATAAAAATTGTAGAACCATGCCTGTTTACTTGTAATAAGCTATTATACCTAACCACCTTCCGAACTTATGGTATCTCACTTAAAATTAGTGTCTATAGACTTACGAATAAAGCAGATATGGGAGTATGATTTTTCTTTTATACCTATTCGAAGGTAACTAGTAAAACCGAGCTATTTTATTTTTATTTGCCAACGAATAGAAATATGCAACGGACAAAAGTTGTTTTATTTGGATTGCTGTTAGACTGCTTTATACTGCATACCTACGGTTATACTCCCTCCCTTATTGTAACCAACATTTCTAGGGTCAGTGGGAAGTGGATACCGTTCGACCGTATAATAATATATAGGTAGACCTAATTAAAAAGTAAACAAGACCGTGGATTTACCTTTATTTTAAGTAGAACGAGTTGAAAAAAGAAAAATTAATTTATAATTAAAAATAGAATTTTACCTTGTTATGCGCTCGGCGAGATATACAAAGACCATTGTTTTTGTGTTTTTTTAGCGCTTTGAAAAAAACCAACTAGGTATATGATAATAAAGGAGATAGGGCGAATTCCGCCGAGCTTCTTTGCTCCAGGTGTAAATATGATGGTGGATGATTTGATTAATCAAAAAAAAAAAACATCTTATTATATATAGCCGCATGAGGCTTTTTAGTGAGTCTCGTGTGGCTCTTGAAACCAAGCTTAGAGTAAAATTAATTTATATAATATAAAAAGCACTTTTGAAAAGTAAAATATAATTTCTTAATAATGTGTACCTGAAGAATAATGCTCTGTGTTATGTAAAAAATAAATGTTGCTTTATTCGTTATAAAAATAAAAATGTGTCTTCATTTTATGAACATACCTACCTATCTTACCTGACTCACTTTCAAGTGGTTCCATAAATTTGTGGCTCTCAAAATTAAGGTTTAGTGGCCACCCCTGATATATATGCATACCAAGTTACAGTATTCAAAGTGCAGCGGTATCGTTAGATTATATAATACTTCTTATAGTTGTTTAAAAAAAACATATTTTCAGTAATCACTAAGAATAAATACCTATAATATGTCTTGTGTGTCGTTGGTTGGTTATGCAGGAATATTGTAGTAACGAAACAATTATGTTTGGTAGGTAGATAATAAGTAATAACTGATACCTAACCGAGTTTTTAAAAAAATAAAAAAACCTGCGGTTGAACACAATTTATCCGTGTTTTAAGGTAAGAAACATGGAGTGGATTTAATTAACATCGCCGCATGTACCTACATGTTTGTCGACGAACGATGATAATAATAATAATATTTAATTGTATATGTTATAAATATGTTGTCTGTTCTATTTTACCGGCTTGCAGCAGCACTGATACTACTGCAGTTGGTTTCTAAATTTTATACAGTCCCGTATAGGTATACATAGTATATCGGAATCGCATTTATTCTTATAAATAATAGAAAACTGTTTTGGTTAAAAGCACTGCAACACTACTCTGTGGTGTACGCATACGCCATACACACACACACACACACACACACACACACCAACAACAAAAACAAAAACAATGATGATAATCAAAAATAATATTATGTGTGCCTAAGTACATTCGATTATACATGCGGCTTATATAGTATAATTTTATGTTATTATAATATTATCTTATATACATCTACACACGCGCTCGATATATAACCCACA